AGCTAGATTTATAGCTCTAGAATGATTTAGTTGCTTAAATGTATAAACATGCCTTCGGTAGAGAGGGGAGGGGGAGTAGGGGGGGCGGTAGAGAGGGGGAGAGAGGGGGGCTTAGTTGTAAAGTGTATAAAGAAGAGAGAAACTGTTTTTGCTGGTGTGCTCGATTTGAGACTTGCCTGTCTCCTTGCACCACTTTGAGATCTCAAATAAACTTTGATTGTTTCTCCACCCCGGTATGTTTATTGGCGTGAAGCACTCCGGGCAACGAACCTCACTGTTGCTGTCCTCGGGCCCCTGTGCCGGCAACAGGTGGGCCTGTGTTCCCCCCTGCCACCCCGCACGGGTGGCAGGCTTCCCCCTCACCCAACGCTCAGGTGGGAGCCTGGGCTTACCTTAACTGCTTGTTTGCTCAGCCCCTGCATCCAAGGGCCTGAGCTGTGATTGTTTGTGCCCCGCCCTGACCCAGGGCCTGGGCTCCTGAACTGCTTGTCTGCTCAGCCCCTGCACCAGAGGGCCTGAGCCCCTTAACTGCTTGTTTGCTCAAACCCTGCCCCAAAGGGCTTGAGCTGGGACTGTGTGTGCCCGCCCTGATCCAGGGCCTTGGCCTGCTTAAACTGTTAATTAGCGCTCAGCCCCGCCTAAGGGCCTGAGCTCCTGAACTGTGGGCCACTCAGCCCCTGCGTAAAGGGACCTGAGCTTGGACTGCCTGCACTTTAGTGAGCCGGTGTGGCACCCCTCCGTCTCGGAGGGTAGAGCCCCGGCGCAACCATACTACATTACTCCATACCCGAACTGTCTGCCAAATGTCAAACATGTTCCCAATCCCATCACTGCTCCACACCAGAATCATCAGCCAAACCTCAAACCAGATTCCTACCCAATCACTACTCCACACCTGAACTGCCAGCCAAATCTTGAATAGAATCTAAAACTAACCCCTAGTCCACACCCGACCATGAGCCAACACTTAAACTCGATCCAAACCCAACCCCTACTCCAAACAGCCAGAAAAACCTTGAACTGCATCACAACCCCAAAGCCGAATCAGTGGCCAAACCTTGAACCTGATCCCCATCCAACACCTATCATACACCCAAGTCATCAGGTAAACCTTGAAAGTCATCCCAACCCAATCCCTATTCCACACCCAAACCGTCCACCAAACCTCAAACTAAATACCAAAACAACCCCTATTCTACAACTGGAACATCAGACAAACCCCAAACCACATCCCAATCCGATCCCTAAGCCACACCCAAACCATCTGCCAAAACTCAAACTGGATCTGCAACCAAACCCCTAATTCTCAACCAAAACATCAGAAAAAAATCCAATTATATCCGAATCCATGTCCTCAGTGGTGAGCTGGAACCGGTTGTTAAATTTAGAAGCCGGTGTAGAACTGGTTCCTAAAGGGGCAGGCGGGTGAGCAAACTCCGCTCCGCAGGCCACATCCAGCCCGCGGGACCGTCCTGCCCGGCCCGCCCGACCTCCCGGCTGGGGAGGCTCCCCCGGCCCCTCCCCCGCTTCCTCCCTCTTGCAGAGACCCAGCACGCTGTGCTGCCAGCACCAGCGCTCTAAACGGCATGGTAAGGGGGCTGGGGCTGTGAGCTCCAGCAGGCACGCGACATCCTTACACAGCAGCATGGTAAGGGGGCCTGGGCTGGGAGGAGGGGTTGGATAAGGGGCAGGGAGCGGTTGGAGGGGCAGAGGCTCTGGGGGTGGTGGTCAGGGGACGGGGCACGGGGGGGGGTTGGTAGGTGTGGGAGTTCCGGGGGGTCTGTTGGAGTGGTGGTAGATGGGGTCAGGGCAGTCAGGGGACAGGGAGCGGGGTGAGTTGGGTAGGGGATGGGGTCCTGGAGGCAGTTAGGGTGGGGGGCTTCGGGAGGGGGTAGTCAGGGAACAAAGAGCAGGGGGGGGGTTGATGGGTTGCGGGTTCTGAGGGGGGCAGTTGGGGGAAGGACATGGGTTGGGGTTGGATGGGGAGGGGGGAAGATAGGCATGTGGGGCTTGTACTCACTGTGCGGTTCCCTACTGGGTCTTCGGCGGCACTTCAGCGGCGGGGGGGGGGGCAGCTTCACTCGCTCCGGGTGAAGTACCTGCTGTCGAAAACCTAGAGCGAGTGAAGACACACACACACCCCGCCGCTGCTGAAGTGCCGCCGAGGACACAGTAGGGAACCAGTTCTTAGGATTTTGGGAGCTCATCACTGCACGTCCTACTCCTCCCCAGAACCAGCAAAACTACAAGCCTGATCTCATTCCAACCCCTACTCCACACCCAAACCATCAGTCAAACCTCGAACCAGATCCTAACAGAAGCCCCACTCGACATATGAACCGTCAACTAAACCTTGAACTGGATTCAAACGCAACCCCTACTCCACACACAAGCTGTCAGCCAAACCTCAAACTGGATCCCACCACAGCCAATACTTCTCAACTGCACTGGTATCCAAACCTTGACACTGCCCAGCCCCTAATCCACATGAAGCCATCAGGTAAAACCTAGAACCTGATCCCAATCTACCTCCTACTGCACAAACTGACATCCCAACCTCAAATTGGATCCCAACTCAACCACAAATCCACACTTGAACAGTTAGACAAACCTTGGATCCCAATCTAGCCCCTACTTAACACCCAAATCCTCAGTCAAGATTTCAACTACATCCAAACTCAAACCCTATTCCTCACCAAAACATCAGCCAAATCTCAAACTGAATCCGAACACAACCCTACTCCAAAGCAGAAGCATCAGTCAAACCTCAAACTTCAACCCCTACTCCAACATCTGAACTGTCAGTCATACCTCCAACCAGATCCCAATCCAACAACTATTTCACACTCAAACCATTAGCCAAACATCAAATCAGATTCCAGCCCAGATCGTATTCCACAGCAGATCAGCCAAATCTCAAACTGGATCCCCAACTCAAACCCTAATCCTCAACCAAAACATCAGAATAAACTCCAATTGTATCCCAACCCAACCCCTCCTTCTCCCTAGAACTGTCAGCAAAATCACAAACCTGATCCTATTCCAAGTCCTACCCCACAACTGAACCATCATTCAAACGACAAACTGAATCCCAACCCAACCCTTACTCCACATCTGAACTGGCACAAAAACCTAAAACTGGATCCCAAACCAAATCCTACTACACACCCAAACCATCAGACAACCCTCAAACCACATCCCAACCAAATGTCTACTTCACATCCAAACTGTCAGTGAAATCTCAAACTGGATCTCAGCCCAAACTCTACTCCACAGCTGAACTGTCAACCAAACCTCATACCAGATGTGAGCACAACTCTTACTCCACACCCAAACTATCAGCCAAACTGAGAACCAGATCCCAAGCTAATCACTACTGCACACCGAAACCATGAGCCAAACCTCAAACCTGATCCCAATTTAGCACCTACTCCACACTCGAACTTTCAGCCAAACCTCGGCCCACATCCAACCCAATCTCTATTCCACACCCAATTTGTCCACCAAACATCAAGCTTCATCCCAACCCAATCAATTTTCCACACCGGAACCATCACCAAATCTTAAACCAGATTCCTACCAAAATCGCTACTCCACATCTGAACTGTCAGCGAAATCTCAAACTGGATCCCAACTGAAACCAATCTTGACACCCAAATCATTGTCCAAACCTCGAATCTTATCCACATCCAGCCCCATCATACTCCGATGTTATCAGTCAAACCTCGAACCAGACCCCAACCCAAATCACTACTCCACACACGAACTGTCCAAATCTCAAACTAGATTCCTATCCAATTGCTACTGAACATGTGAACTGCCAGCCAAACCTTGAACTTAATCCACACCCAACACCTACACCACACCCAGATGTCAGGTAAACCTTGAACCTGATCCCAACTCTATCCATTTTCCACACCTGAACTGTCCAAACAACCTCAAACTGGATAGCAACAAAAATCCTAGTCCACATCCCGTCAGCCAAGCCTCAAACTACATCCCAACCCAACCCCATTCCATTCCCAGACTGGCAGCCAAATCTCAAACTGGATTCCCAATGCAACACAACCGAAATCCCAATCCAATCCTACTACTCACCAGAACCATCTGCAAAATCTCATATCTGATCCAATTCCAACTCCTACCCCACAGCCAAACTGTCAGCCTAACCACAAACTGGATCCCAACCCAAATCCTACTCCATATCTGAACCGTCAGTCAAACTAAAACTGGATCCTAACCCAACCCGAATACCATATCCAAAAGGTCAGAATAACCTCAAACGGAATCCCCAACCAACCTCTACTCCACACCCAACCATCAGATAACCCACAAACCAGATTCCAACCCAATATGGACTCCACACCCAAACCATCAGCGAAATTTAAAACAGTATCCCAACACAACCCCTAATCCACATCCTAACCATTAGCCAAACGTCAAACCAGAACCCAAACAAATTGCTATTCTATCCCCAAACTAGCAGCCAAAGCTAAAACCAGATCCCAACCTAATCCCTAATCCACCCAAAACTGTCAGACAAACCATGAACCACATCCCCACCAAACCCCTACTCCACAACCGAACCAGTGATGGAAAGTGTTTTGTAATTACTGTAGTAAATCCACTGCCTCCAGAGAAATCTTCTGTTGACCTAGCTGCATCTACAGGTGGGGTCAGGTTGACCTAACTACATTACACGTGGTACAGAATTTTTCACAGCCCTGAGGGATTTAGCTAGGTCAACCTACATTGTAGGTTTAGAGTGTGCGAGACAGAACTTTCACAGGGGCTGGACTTGGACTGTCAGCCAAGCAGCACAACTAAAGATTCTGCTGCTTGGACTGACTGCCCCTAGAGATAAGATGATCACAGGCATCACCATGCTCATGAGCTTCGCAGCTGACTCTCATTTTGACTTAGCTTTCCCCCTTCATGAGTTGTATTCTCCCACTCACACGCACTTCAGCACCCACTCACGCACCACAGAGCACAGGATGACCCTATAAACTAACGAGGCTGCAGGAGGGGAGGCGAGAAAGGGGAAGATTGTTGCTGTTTCTTGCTGGGTGTGAGAGAAGGGCTCTGATCCTGTGGCCATGGGTGCTGGATTAGTGATTGACTGGCTGGCACAGACCTGCTCCAGCTTCCGGTGTCGTTTCCTCAGCTCCTCTTCCAGATCTGTCAGAGGCCTCTGTGACTCCTGCTGCTGCTTCAGCTGCTTGAATCTCCTGGTCTCCAGAACCTTCTGGAGCTCTGGTTTGTGTTCTGGCAACAGCCTCCTGTGGAGAGGGATCAAACAGGCTTTACTGAAGTGGGGGGCTTCCCTGTTTCTTCTGCACCTGCCCTCTCTCACTGCCTCCCTTCTCCCTCTCTCATTCAGTTGCCCACCCTGTTTCCTCCGCTCCCAGGCCCAGTCAGAGCCTGCGGGATGCCATGACAGTCCCCCCGGCAGCAGAGCTGGCCTGGTTGTATTCAGGGCCTTGCATTTGCTCTCCTGGGGATAATTTATTCATTTTCCAAGCTCCCTGCCCCCAGGCCTGGCACCATTCTGCTCACGTCCCTGCCCCCAGAGCAACCAGTACAGGACACACGTCCCTCTCAGTGTCCCCTTCCAGCGGACTCTAGGAAGCTGCCCAGGTCTGTGAGGCATCCATGCTGTCATGGGAGAGACTGACCTCAGGAGCATTCTCAGGGACTCCTACTCCCGGCCCGCTGATCCAGGCCTGCCGAGGGAACCACAGCCCATAACTGGGGACACCAGCACTGTTTGGCAAATTCAGGCAGACTGCGGGAGGTGCCTGAGGATCAGGAGTGCCAAGGAGCTCCCACATAAAGTAGGAAAGGCCAAGGACCTGGCACTGCCTCATTGCTCCAGCTGGAGTAACTCTTCCCTTGGCCCCATTCCCTCTGGGCACCCAGCAGCATCACTCACCTCCTGTGGCTGAACAGCAGCTCCCGATGGAGCTCCTGGTGAGTTTTGGACTCTCTGACTGGGTTCGGCAGCTTCTTTGGCTCAATGAGGCCATTGTTGCTACCTGCTGCGAGGTAAGTGCCAGGGTCACAGCCCCTGCTGCCTGCCTCTGCAATGCAAAGATGGGCTGAGTGAGGCAAGCCATAGAGGGCAGGGACCGGGGTCCCACCATTCCTCACCGTGCTCCACTTCCATGTGGGCACCGCAAAGTGTCAGGCCCCTCCCTCTTGGAGGGGAGCACCACACGCCCCCCCCCCCCCCACTTGCTCTCAGATGGCTTACATGTCCAAGTGGAGGGGGATTTCCTCCAAGATCCCTGTGGAAACCAAGCAGCTCCCTGCTGAGCATGGCACCCCCTCCATGGTGGGCTTCTCTCTCGCGGGTCCATGACTGTTCCACTGCAGATAAATATTTCTAGCAGTCAGTGGGCCGAGAGAGAGAGAGAATGATTCTGTAGCCCAGTGCTTGGGCACCACCAGGAGGGAGCCCCGAGGTCCAGCCCCCTGCTCCAGTCACCCTTTCATTATTTACCCACCGTGGAACAGCTTCCACAGGAGAGCCTGCAGGAGCCCCTCATCTGACTGTCCCCTCACCCAGTGGTTAGAGCACGCTCCTGGTGGGGGGGAGACCCCTGCACAAAGCCTCTCTCCCCTTGGGCAGAGCTGGGGGGTTGATCCTGGGTCCCCATCCCCGGGACGTGTTCTATCTCCTGGGCTGCCAGTCAGCAGGCGGGCTGCACAACTCCCTCCTCCACCAGCCATTCGGTGTGGAGCGAGAAGGCCCCTAACTCAGTCCCGCCAGGGACACCTTAGCTACTTACGCCACCTGGCTCCAGTAGCAGCTTCCCATTGGCCGATCACTAGGAGAGCGAGGCACCTCCCTGCAGCCCCGACTCGGGTGCCTATCTCGGGGGGGAGGGGCTTGGCACATTCCTGGCGTTGGCATCTCCCATTGGCTAGTTCAGGGGCTCCCCATTCAGCACACTGCCTTCTGACCAGACTAGGCCAGAGACAGGGACCCAGATGACACCAGCACCTCTATTGGCTCTGACTAAATCCCAAATACCATCTGGGATGTCAATCTGCCATTGCCTGCCCCGCCCCACCTCCCCGTGTGTGATCTTTGCCTTCCTCACCTTATTTCTTCTCTTTCCCCTAGCTAGAGACATGAAGGGTAACAAGAAAACATTCTACAAATACACTAGAAGCAAGAGGAAGACCAAGGACAGGGTGGGCCTGTTACTCAATGGGGGAGGGATAATAACAGAAAATGTGGAAATGGCAGAGCTGCTTCATGACTTTTTTGTTTTGGTTTTCACCAAGAAGCTTGATGATGATTGGACGTTTATGTGAATGTTTACAGTGAATGTCAGTGAAAATGAGGTAGGATCAGAGGCTAAAAGAGAGAAAGAACATGTTAAAAATTACTTAGACAAGTTAGATGTCTTCAAGTCACCAGGGTCTGATGAAATGCATCCTAGAATACTCAAGGAGCCAGGGCCGGCTCCAGGTTTTCTGCCGCCCCAAGCGGCGGCGGCAAAAAAAAACAAAACAAAAAAAAGGCGCCACAGCAGCATGATCGCGCCGCTCCACTCTTCAGCGGCAGGTCCTTCACTCCGAGAGGGACTGAGGGACCCACCACCAAATTGCCACCGAAGACCCGAACGTGCCGCCCCAATAGCAGCCGGAGTGCCGCCCATTGGTATTGGCTGCCCCAAGCACCTGCTTCTTTAGCTGGTGCCTGGAGCCAGTGCTGCAAGGAGCTGACTAGCCAATGAGGGTCTGGCTGGAGAATCTTGCCTACATGCTCGGGGTTCTACTGATCGCCATATTTGGGGTCGGGAAGGAATTTTCCTCCAGGGTAGATTGGCAAAGGCCCTGGAGGTTTTTCGCCTTCCTCCGCAGCATGGGGCAGGGGTCGCTAGCAGGAGGGTTCTCTGCCAATTGAAGTCACTAAAACACAGGATTTGGGGACTTCAACAGCAGAGTCAAGGGAAGGGGTAGGGACGGCTTTGTGGACTGCATCATGCGGGAGGTCAGACTAGATGATCATAATGGTCCCTTCTGACCTTAAAGTCTATGAGTCTATGAGACTGAGGGGATAGCTGAGCCATTAGCGATTATCTTTGAAAAGTCATGGAAGACAGGAGAGATCCCAGAGGACTGGAAAAGGGTAAATCTAGTGCCCATCTATAAAAAGGGAAATAAGGACAACCTGGGGAATTACAGATCACTCAGCTTAACTTCTGTACCTGGAAAGATAATGGAGCAAATTAAACAATCAATTTGCAAACATCTAGAAGATAATAAGGTGATAAGTAACAGTCAGCATGGATTGGTCAAGAACAAATCATGTCAAACCAACCTGACAGCTTTCTTTGACAGGGTAACAAGCCTTGTGGATAGGGGAGAATCGGTAGACATGGTATATCTTGACTTTAGTAAAGCTTTTGATACTGTCTCACATGACCTTCTCATAAACAAACTAGGGAAATGCAACCTAGATGGCGCTACTATAAGGTGGGTGCACAACTGGTTAGAAAACCATTCCCAGAGAGTAGTTATCAGTGGTTCACAATCATGCTGGAAGGGCACATTGAGTGGGTCTGCAGGAATTGGTACTGGGTCTGGTTCTGTTCAGTATCTTTATCAGTGATTCAGATAATGGCATAGAGAGTACACTTATAAAGTTTGCAGACAATATCAAGCTGGGAGGGGTTGCAAGTGCTTTGGAGGACAGGATTAAAATTCAAAATGATCTGGACAAACTGGAGAAATGGTCTGAAGTAAATAGGATCAAATTCAATAAGGACAAATGCAAAGTACTCCATTTAGGAAGGAACAATCAGTTGCACATACACAAAATGGGCAATGACTGCCTAGGAAGAAGTACTGCGGAAAGGGATCTGGGGGTCATAGTGGACCATAAGCTAAATATGAGTCAACAGTGTAATGCTGTTGCAAAATAAGCGAACATCATTCTGGGATGTATAAGCAGGAGTATTGTAAGCAAGACATGAGAAATAATTCTTCTGCTCTACTCTGCTCTGACTAGGCCTCAACTGGAGTATTGTGTCCAGCTCTGGGCACTACATTTCAGAAAATATGTGGACAAATTGGAGAAAGTCCAGAGAAGAGCAACAAAAATGATTAAAGGTCTAAAAAACATGACCTATGAGGGAAGATTGAAAAAAATGGGTTTGTTTAGTCTGGAAAAGAGAAGACAGAGGGGACATGATAACAGTTTTCAAGTACATAAAAGGTTGTTACAAGGAGGTGGGAGAAGAATTGTTCTTAACCTCTGAGGATAAGACAAGAAGCAATGCGCTTAAATTGCAGCAAGGGTAGTTTAGGTTGGACATTAGGAAAAACTTCCTAACTGTCAGAGTGGTTAAGCACTGGAATAAGTTGCCTAGGGAGGTGGTGGAATCTCCATCATTGGAGATTTTTAAGAGCAAAGTTAGACAAACACCTGTCATGGATGGTCTAGATCAGGGGTGTCAAACTCAATTGCACAGGGGGCCAAAACTCAAAACTCGCGGGCCGAACAGTATAACCATTT